GAGGTCTGATTTTTAAAAGTTCTTTATATATTCTAGATACTAGTCCTTTGTCTGAGGAACAGCTGGTGAGAAGTTTTTCCCACGTTATGGGTTGTCTCTTCACACTGTTGGTGGTTTCTCTTGCTGCGCAGAAGATTTTTAATAAGAAGACCCACTTATTGATTCTTTGTGCTAGTTCATGGGCAGCTGAGGTTTTGTTCATAAAGTCTTTGGCACGTTGGCAAACAAGAGGGACCAGGGAACCAGAAAAACTTGCTTCTTTGCCGGTTATAGATAAACAAAGGAACAAAGACCTCAGCGTGTGAAACATTTACCATCATCCTGGGTTGCGGACCAAACGTGTCCCTTCAGAGCACAAGGAAATTTTAGGTGACACACTGGGCATATCTCCACTACACTGTTGGCCAAAACTACAGGGTATCAAACAAGACAGCAGTCCTCGTTGCCAGGGCTTCCGGTCCGCTGCTAGCAGACAGGGAAATAAAAGTAACATTTCAAGATCTACCCACAACACTGATACCAAGCAAGGACCTGACGTACAGTGTTTCTGTGTTTTAGTGCATGCTTGTAGTACGTCATGATTACACTGGTCCTGGGAGTGGGTTATGTGAACAGAACACACCCTAATTCACTTCTCCTCCCCTACCCCTCCCACTCCTCCTGGCTCCTTCCTCGTTATAAAAGATCTACTCCCTTTTTTTATTCAATTATTTTCCCCCATTTCCTTTCCCTCTCCTCCCTCCCTCTTCCTCTATCTTTAGTTCCCCTTCCCATTTAAGAAAAATCTCCCTACTTCTTATTATCTACCTTTCATTTTGCTTTTTACTTATATTCTGGGCTTCTCAAAGCCGTACTTAAGCTGTACTTAAGCTTATGTGTCCATGCTCACTAACACATTAGCAGATAAAGAAAATGCAGGATTCGTGCACAATGGAGTACTACTCTGTCATAAAGAAAGGTACATTTGCCAGGGATTTAGCTCAGTGGTGCCTGCTTTGCAAGTAGGAGGTCCTGAGTTCAGGCCCCAGTACAAATAAAATAAAAAGGAAGGATGAATTTGAGGCTTTCATAGGTAAATGGCCACACCTTAATGACAACATTAAGTGAAATAAATCAGATGCACAAGTTTAAATTTTTCTTACATAAGTTTCTTTTAAACATATTTTCTACAAGTACATCACTGGGGATAATAGTATGCTTCAAAGAAAAAAGCACTGCCCACCTGAAAAGAACAAAAGAGATACTTTACAAAAGACATGGAAACATTCCGAAGTTTTGTTTTCCTTGGTTTTTTGTTTGTTTGTTTCTTTTTTTTGGTACCAGGATCGAACTCAGGACCTTGCACTTGCCAGGCAGGCGGCAGAACCACTGAGCTAAACCCCCAGCTAGTTTTTCTTTTTTGTTGTTTGGTTTTTGTCGTTGTTTGTTGTGGTGCTGGGGATCAAACTCAGGACCTTACACTTGCCAGCCAAGTGTAGTGCCACTAAACTGCATCCCTGGCCCTTTTTGGTTTTTTTGAGACAGGATCTCACTATGTAACCCAGGCTGGCCTCAAACTCACAGTGATCCTCCTGCCTCAGCCTCCCAAGTGCTGGGATGTCGGGTGTCACCACCACACCTGGCACCAAAGTTATTTCTAAGAGCAGGGCATCGTGTTGCATGCATGGAAACCCCACCACTCTGCAAGGCTGAGGCAGGAGGATGGCCAATTCAAGCCCATTTTTTTCTTTTGCGTTAATGCAATGACCGGCCCAAGACAAAGATGTCTCAGCCCAGGGGTCAGCGTCTCTCTGATTCACCCTCACCCATATGTGTGATGCCCTTGCCAATTCATGCACTATGTTGCATGTGTGCATTTACAATCACTTTGTCTTCTGCTTATGAAAAATGTCACACCCCCTTTCTTCAGAACACCCAGAATATTTTGAATCTGTATATTTGGGTCTGGGGGCACTCGTGTTGGCCTCAGAATAAACTTTTCTTATTCCTTCAAAACGGTGTCAGTGATTACATGGCAAAGAATGTGACGGAACTGTATCTGTCTTGGTGAGGCAGGAGGCAGAGAAGGGAAACTCCTGGTAGGAGGGACCCGGGAGGCCAGAGGAAAGACGAGCAGGCCGGATCTCCAAAATCCAGAGGGTTCTGATAGCCAGGCCACAGTCAGGAAGGACGAGAGGGCACAAGTGCTGTAGGCTTCTGGTGCCCAGGATGAGCTCTTCAGGATTCACAAAGAGCACCGCTGGTAGCGACTAAGCCGTGCCTGGGGACACACGCTGTAGAATGTTCTGCACAACCGAGTGACCCCGACTCAATAATAATTACATTCTCACTGACACTGTGACTGTGACTCCCTCTCCCGTGGGTTTTGGGTCCATGACAATTCCTCAAAGGTCCTTATAGGGACAAAAATGCCTCCTCCAACAGAAAGAGACTTGGCCCTGATTAGACTGCACTGCTGCACCAGTGTGAAAATCACACTGAGGCTCTGCCACCTGGCTTCTTTGGGGCCATGAGCTCCTCTCAAAGGCCCTCTTCCATCTGAGGAGGGTGCCATGGCTAACAATTTTATGCTTTCACTTCCACTTCTGTGTGTCCCGCTCATTTTTTTCATCCAGAACACCAAGAACCTAGGACAGCGACAGCCCCAGGGACACTGGGACATGGTGGAAGGCAGAGCTGCAGAGTGGTTTGCAGAAGAGAATCTGAGATGTACTGTTCGGTTGGCTATGTGGCTTCTCCTGCTGACTTATAGAAAAAGGCAATGAGGGAGAAAGCACTTAAAGCCTAAGCATATGACAAAAATGGAAGTGGAAGCCAGGTGTGGAGGTGCACACCTGTAATCCTAGCACCTCCAGGGGCTGAGGCAGGAGGATCATCACAAGTTTGAATCCAGTCTGTGGTACTTAGTGACTTGGTGAGACTTTATTTCAAAATACCAACTAAAAAAGCTAGGTGATGCGGCTCTGTGCAAAAGGCTTGAGTTTGATCTCCAGTAGCAGAAAAAGGGGAGCAAGCATGAGATGTAAATATCTGACAATTATCTATCTGGTCGTGTCAGGAACTGGAAAGTATTTTTAGAGGGGACTACTAAGGGGGTGACCATGTGATCATAATTAGCAGGAAGAGAAGAAAGTCAGGTGCTATTCAACAAAGCATTGGTTTAATGACCCCAGTCTGTATTGAGGTCTTACAAACTGCCCCTCCTATCACTGGCCAGAGTTCCAGGCCCCTGGGAGCAGATCTGAGAGGGCAGGGTTCCCATAGGAACCGAGGGTCACCCGTCAACCTCATCTTGCATCTGTTCTCTGCGTTTCTTTCTTACTTTTTTTTTTTTTTTTTGGTTTTTTTTGAAACAGGGTCTCACTATGTAGTTCAGACTGCTCTGTAACTCACTGTGTAGCCCAGGCTGGTCTCGAACTCACAGTGATCCTCCTGCCTCAGCCTCCCGAGTGCTGGGATGACAGGCGTTCACCACGACCCCTGGCGGTTCTCTACGTTTCTATGCCATGTTCTCCAGCCACCCCCATTGTGGTCAAATAAGCCACTGTTCAGCTGCGCCTCCTGCTCTGCAAAGAACAAATGATGCATTTCAGGCTGTAGGTGACAATTCTCCATGTCCTCGGGATGGGTAAGAGCTGTGGGGTGGCGGCTTCCTCCAAATAGATTTCAGAGAATGCCTCAGCCTATTTCAGGTCTTTCCCATTTGGGTTACCGTGAATGTCCAGTACACTCCATTTGTGGACAATCGTGGATTCTTTCATGTTTGCACCTAGGAATGTAATTGCAGGGTGACAGTAGATTCCTCTGTCAGCTTGCACAGATTCTGCAGAGCATTTTTCCAAAGTGTTTATACCAGTGGTGCCTTTGTCCATGCACGATGGGATCGGGTTTCTGTTTGCTGAGAGTTCTCTCCGGCTGCTTTGAGAATGGGTTTTAGACGACAAAGGTAGATTTAGGAGACGGAGGAGAGCATGCGAGTGGTGGTGTGGCAGCCTGGAGTGGGGTGAGACCTTACTACGCAGAGGTGGAACAGTGTTGTCTGTGCATGGAAGGAGAGAAAAGCAAAATGTTCCTACTCACAGCCCCGCGGAAGCAAATGTGTACATGCTCCCTCCTCATTAACGACCAGCGCTCCACCTCCCCAGACGCACAGAAGCTAACGATTCCTCTGAAATCTCACACTTCCTGGAATTGGTGTCCGACTTCAAAGGTTTAAGGGCTCAGTATCCCAGAAAGCCCTCCGGTCAGACATCAAAATTCTGTGTTTCCAGGGCCCCACAGTTCCTCCTGAAGGACTGCGCTGGCACGTTCCCACAAGGCTAGTACACTAAAATGACTCGCAGGACTCAGCACTTTACTCAGCATTATCAATCTGTGATAAAACATAACCCTGGGAACAGCTAAATGGAAGGTATGGTGAGGGGGACACATGGACCTTCCAGGTCCCATCTGGAGGTCCCAAGCTCCGGGCACCCAGAAGTTCTCCACACTTCACCACCAAGGGGTTTCATCAGCTGTGCTGGTAACTCCACGGGACTGATTCATGCAGTGGGTCTTGACGATGAACACAATGATTAAAAAATCCACCGCAGCACACTTTGGTCTCTCTAGCTATAACTTTCCTCCCTGAAGTTGCCTGGGGTCCCCAGTCACCAGCTCTCTCATTGTGGGACTCTAACCGCTATGTATAGCAGCACACATTTCCTTCTACCCAGCTCCAAGATAAGATTAAAACAGTGTATGGAAGCCTGGTAAGGGCAAACAAGATAGCGACTCAAGGCCTCGTTAGAACAGAACAGCCTGAGGTCTGGAGATGAAGACCAGGTGCACCGTACAGCTGACTCCTTTAGACAGATGGCAGAGAACGGCCCCCGGCCCCTGGCCCACTTGCAGTCCTCTTCCCTTGCCCTTAAAAACCTGTGCTGATCCCTGTGCTGGGCCTCTCTAAGCTGCTCAGTTCTGAGAGCGTCGTCTGGCCAGACTAATAAAGGTCTATTTACCAGCGAGCCTGGTGTGTTCCTTCCTGGGCGACTCTCGTTCCTCTGTCGAGCTCCCGGGGCCTCGCTGAGCTATAGGTCCCAGCATCTTGGAGGCCCTCTGGGCTGTTCAAGGCTCCCGGAAGTAAGGCCCTGGGTCTTGCACTCAGAGCTATCATTGGGCTATAGGACGCAGCATCGTGAAGGCCCTTTTGGCTGTCCACGCTCTGTGCAGTGGAAGTGAGACTTTATGTCTTGCATTATTAGAGGCCCCAGCAAGATCCCCAGGTGGGAAGGGTAAATCTGGCTGAGATTTCTCTGTAGCAGATCTGGCAAGAGATTCTCGAACATACACCTGAAAAGCCTCCAGAGGAAAGCTTTCGACCAATTGCAACCATCTATTTGTCAGGATCGAGGTGGCTGATGAGCCGGGAAGCCTCCCCTGACCCCAGCCCTGATGAGGATTTCTGAGTAGAATGAAAGCTTTTTTTTGTGGCGCCTGTTTGTTTTGTCTGTGTCCTGTCTGTTGAGTGTTAACCTTGCATTCATTCCTAGGGACAAGATGGGAGGATCCAGTTCCAAGAACACCCCGTTGGACTGTTTTCTCACTAATTTTAAACTTTTTTTCTCCTGAGCAGGAAGATGAATATGGAATGAAGTTTTCCCGAACCCTCTGCAAACTGGAATGGCAAGCATTCGGAGTAGGTTGGCCAGTGGAAGGTTCTTTCGAACCACAATTCTGCCAGGCGGTATGGGCAAAGGTTACTGGACGCCCTAGCCACCCCGACCAATTCCCTTATATTAACATCTGGGTCCGAGCCTGTGAGAAGCCTCGGGCATGGTGGCAGCGCTGCTCCCTGCGCACCAGTTCTCGTATTCCGGTAATGGCGCCAAATGCGATAAAGTCCTTAAAGTGGCAGGTACCCAGGCCGGTCTTCTCCCAGGAGCCGGACCCCTTAGAGACTACTGACCCCAGGTTAGGACCCCCTCCATATGCAAAGTCATCCTCTGGGGAGATGGGAGTTAAGTCCATTTACCAATCCCTTCCAAAGGATGGGGAGGTCCCAGATTCCACGACCTCTCCTTCCTGCACCCGAGGGGGCTCTGCCTATGTACCCCAGGAGGCACCCCCGGGGAGGCCGGATCTGCTCCCTGTGCTCCCGCTGAGGGAAACAGAACAGGGTCACTATGTGTACATTCCTTTCTCTACAAGTGATTTATATAACTGGAAGCACCAGAATCCCCGTTCTCTGAGAAGCCGCAGGCCCTCATTTCCCTTCTTGACTCTGTGTTTAACACCCATGACCCCACCTGGGATGACTGCCAGGAACTTTTACAGGCTCTGTTCACACCTGAAGAGCGAGAAAGAATCAGAGGACACGCTGTTCGGTCGGTGCTGCGGGGAACTGAGGGACCCACTGATGACCAACATCGGGCCCGAATTGAAGCACAACTCCCCTCCACCCGTCCCCAGTGGCAACCGAACTCCACGGGAGGTAGGGAAGCTTCTTCACAACTACCGTCAGCATCTCCTGAAGGCCTTAGGGGAGCTGCTCGCAAGCCTACTAATTTGAGCAAGGTAAGCGAGGTCCTTCAAGGGCCTGAGGAATCCCCCTCTGCCTTCCTAGAGTGGTTGCTGGAGGCGGACCGCACGTACACGCCAATTGACCCAGACGCTCCAGCAAACAGGTGGGCGATTAATTTGGCCTTTGTGTCCCAGTCGGCCCCAGATATTCAAAGGAAACTGCAGAGAACTGAGGGTTTTCAGGGAGAAAATAGAGAAAAATTGATAAGCATAGCTATGAAAGTGTTCACAAAAAGGGATACACCTGAAGGTTAAAAGGTTAAAAAGATGGGAAAGGCAAGTGTAATGGCATTAGTAGAAGAAGGATTTGTGTCAAAGGGGAGGGAAATGAAAAGGGAACTAGGGAAAAGAGATGGCTTCTTGTGGATAGAGATCAATGTGCATATTGCAAAGGGGCATTATAGGAAGGATTGTGAAAAATGGAAAAAGAAAAAGGCACAAGAAAAAAAACTGGAACAGAAAAAGGAAGGAGTCTTTTTCGCAGGGGCCAGGGCTCATGGCCGCTTAATCCCGATGAACCTTTGGTAAGTGTGTGAATAGGAGGAACAGATGTTGAGTTTCTCGTAGACACTGGAGCGGCCCACTCAGTCCTCAAAGCTCCTCCTGGGGCGCTTTCCTCCATGAAGTCTACCATTACTGGAGCTACTGGACAACCTGCCTCTTATCCCTGGACAACGCTAACCTGTAAACCTGGGAAAAGGTACTGGAACCCACTCTTTCTTGGTCATTCCTGAGTGTCCCTAGCCCTTGCTGGGGAGAGATTTATTGAGAAAATTAGGGGCTGTCATTTCTTTTAAACCAATGAGGGAAACTTAGAACTGAGGTTGCCACCCGTTATCATGGTGACAGTCCCTTTGGAAGAGGAATTCAAACTAATCGGAGGAGAAGAAAAACCTCCGGAGCAAAAAGGGGACTATCTACGGGAAAAATTTCCTCAGGTATGGGCTGAAACAAACCTACCAGGGCTGGCAAAATACCAAGTCCCAATAGTAGTCCAATTGTTAGCCTCCGCCACCCCTGTCCAGGTCCGACAATACCCACTTCATCTGGAAGCTAAGATAAAAATATCCAAACACATCCACCAGCTCCTGGAAGCCGGGATATTGGTTCCATGTCAGTCAGCTTGGAACACACCCCTGTTGCCTGTAAAAAAACCTGGCACCTCAGACTACAGGCCGGTACAGGACTTGCGGGAGGTAAACAGCCGGGTGGAGACCATCCACCTTACGGTACCGAACCCCTACACACTGCTGAGTCTCATTCCACCTGCACATGTATGGTACTCAGTCCTTGATCTCAAAGATGCATTTTTCAGCCTGCCTCTCGCACCGGTGAGCCAGCCCCTTTTTGCTTTCGAATGGACGGACCTGGACACTGGAACTACTGGACAACTGACATGGACTCGATTGCCACAAGGCTTCAAGAACTCCCCCACCCTGTTTGGGGAAGCTCTCAGCAGAGATCTCCAAGAGGTAAGGAGAGCTTTCCCCTATGCAACTGTTCTCCAGTATGTAGATGACCTCTTGGTGGTGACTTCAACCGAAGAGGAATGTCTTGCAGCCACCGAGGGCCTCCTGGAAGCCCTACAAAACCGGGGATATTGAGTGTCCTGGAAGAAAGCTCGGCTCTACATGACCAAGGTAACTTACTTGGGCTACATTATTGAAAATGGAAAGAGAAAGTGGGCAGAATCCAGGGTGTCAGAGATCCTCCAGATGCCCACACTCAGCTCAAAGAAACAAGTGTGCAAGTTCCTGGGGCCCATAGGATATTGCAGAATCTGGATTCCTAGTTTTGCTGAGATTGCCAAGCCCCTGCATGAGGCTACGGCGGGGGGAAATATGCCCCTCGAATGGACAGAGGCTTGCCAGCAAGCGTTCCAGATGCTCAAGACTGCACGTACCATAGCACCAGCCTTAGCCCCGCCTGATTTGAATAAACCTTTCACCTTGTATGTAGCAGAGAAAAGTGGGGTGGCAAAAGGAGTGATCAGGCAAACCTTGGGCCTTGGAAGTGGCCTATAGCTTATCTCTCCAAAAGACTTGACCCAGTGGCCAGAGGGTGGCCCTCTTGTTTAAGGACGGTGGTCACAGCTGCTGCCTTAACTCGGGAAGCTGACAAACTGACTTTCGGCCAAGACTTAACTTTGATCACTCCGCATGCCATTGAGCCCCTGTTGCACAATTCACTCAGTAGGTGGCTGTCCAATGCTAGATTGTTGCAGTACCAGGGACTCTCGCTAGAACAGCTACACATTAAATTTGCCGCAACATCTAACCTGAATCCTGCGTTTGCTCCCTGAGTCAGACGACCAAATGTCCATCCATGATTGCCTGTAGACTCTTGAATACCTATGGGGAGGAAGGCCAGATCTGACAAACCCAGCCCTTTCCCAGCCTGAGGCAACATACTACACCGATGGGAGCAGTTTCATATGTGAAGGTGTATGATATGCTGGAGCAGCAATAGTAAATCAAAATCAACAGGTAGTATGGGAACAAGGGCTGCCTCAAGGGACATCAGCACAGAAGGCTGAACTGATTGTTTTAACGAGAGCACTAGAATGGGAAAAGGAAAAAGGATAAATATCTTTACTGACAGTCCTTATGCTTTTGCTACCACCCGCGTGTATGGAGAGATTTACCAGAATAGAGGACTTCTGACATCAGAGGGAAAAGAAATTAAAAATAAAATGGAGATACTGGCTCTACTGCAAGCCATCTGGCTACCGAGAGAGGTTGGCATCATCCACTGTTGGGGACATCAGAAGGGATCCAGTCCTGAAGCGATTGGAAACAATGCAGCTGACCAGGCAGGGAAGCAGGCTGCCCAAAATCAGTGGGGAAACAATTGGTGCTGCTGCCGACACCCTTGCTCCCAGAGAGGCCTGAATACACGGTGAAGACATAACAGAGATGAGCAAGAGCCACTGGACAAAGGGAAAGCATGCATGGTGGACAACTGAAGAGGGAAAAATCGTGTTGCCCGCTGCTGTGGCCGACACTTTGCTGAGTGAGCTCCATGAATCCACTCATCTGGGGGAAAAGAGGATGATGACCGTCCTACAGCCCCACTTTGTCAGCAGATTAGCTCAGAAAGCTCGGGACAGGGTGAGACGGTGCCCAACCTGCCTTAAGGTAAACGCAAATCAGGTGGCTGGGCCCCCAGGGGTCGGATATAGAGGACTGACTCCGGGAGAACATTGGGAACTGGACTTCGCCGAAATAAAAACAGGCATGTATGGCTATAAATATACACTAGTTTTCATAGACACATTCTCAGGGTGGGTAGAGGCATATCCCACTAAAAAGGAAACAGCTGAGGTAACAGTAAAAAGCTCCTAACTGAAATAGTTCCTCGATTTGACTTGCCCTTAGCCCTGGGGTCCGACAATGGTCCAGCCTTCATGGCTACAATATCTAAATTGATGAGTCACATTATTGGAATCAACTGGAATTTACATTGTGCTTACAGGCCTCAAAGTTCAGGACAGGTGGAAAGGGCTAACCGAACTTTAAAGGAGATCCTAACTAAATTGAGCCTGGAGACTGAATTGAGTTGGGTGGAGCTTCTCCCTTTTGCTCTGTTATGTATCCGATGTACTCCCAAGTCCCCTCTAAACCTGTTACCTTTCCAAATCATCTACGGGCGTACTCCTCCCCTGCTTCCTCACATATAGAATTAAAAGAGAAGTTTTCCCATCTGAGGCTGCTCAAGTCTCTGAGAGCTTTACATGAAATACAGCCTCAGTTACAAAACCGGGTCAGAACATCTCTGAGCCTCCCACATGAAAAACCCTTTCAGCCACTGCCCTATAAGCTAGGAAAACTGGTTTATATTCGCAGGTTTGATTCCAACACCTTGGAACCATGGTGGAAGGGGCCTTTCCCGGTTATCCTGTCTACACCTTTTGCTGTGAAAGTCACCGGGCACCAATGTAGATCCACTGAAATCACCTCAAGCCCGGACTTGATGGCAGTCCAGAGATGCACGAGAAATGGAGCTTTATCAGCAAACCTGGGGACCTGAGGGTAAAACTTCGCTCAAATGGACATACATCATATTCTGGGTGATTTTCTCTGGGACAGTGACAGCGCTGCCCAAAGGAAGCTTAGGTCATACTAAAAATGTCTGGGTGCACCTAGCTGAGTCCTTAAATTTGACTGAAATCTGTTTAAATGTTGATGTAAACTTTCATTATGTGCTTGGGAATTGTTCGATTCCAGTGTGTGCCCCACTTGAAGGTACTAGACCATATACTATATTTAAAAACATCCTGGAAAACGTTCTTAGCTATGCTGATAGTTATAATTGGGGACAAGCAACCTGTTGCAAACCAAAGAATGCTATTAAGCGATATACCCCTCGGGTGGTTATGTCAAATGAGACCCAAGGTGCTAAGTACAAAAATTGTACTTTCCAATGTCTAAAAGTTAAGTGGGTGAATGAAATGAAGCACCCCAGAGAACAAAAGATCACTTATAGCTATTGTCACATTACATTGCCACAGGGGTGGTTTTATACATGTGAAAGAATAACTTATAACTACATCCCAGCAAATTTCACTAAAGCCTGCTCTTGTCTGAGCAGATTAGCAGTTGTCTTACCTGAGAGGAGAGATCTCCTTCCACCCAACAGAACAAAGCGGTGGACCCCCTATACTTCACCAGGTTGCGATGATGATGTGGGACTTCTAACAGATGCTGAGGTTATTCCTAAGATTATTTCTGCAATAGGCCAGCCTGCAATTGGAATCCATGCTGAAAAGGCAGTTAGAAAGCTAGCTTGCAAGGTAGTTAAGGGACTAAACACCATCTCTGCTGCGCTGGTGTTGATTAATCAAGAACTCCAAGAACAGAGGCAGGCAACCTTAGACAAGAGGGCAGCAACTGACTATTTGCTGCTATTTCATCACCAGGGTTGTGAAAAGATTAAAAATATGTGCTGTTTCAATTTGACAAACAATGGGCCAGCTATAGAACAAGACATAGAAAAACTCAAAGACAGCTACAAAAATTCATAATGAACAGATGGGCTGGGATTTGTTTAAGTGGCTAACATGCTGGTTGCCTGACATTACCTGGTTGAAACAACTGATACTCTGTATGATGGCACTGGGATTTTGTATTGTAATAACTTGCTGTTTTTTACAATGTGTTTCTTTAGTGCAACTTAGAACTGGATGTAGGTAAAATCAGAGATTTGATTTGAGCCCAAAATTCAGTGGGGAATGTGGGACTATAAACGCTATGTAACCCCTAGTTAGCCAGCACATAGCAGCACACATTTCTTTCTACCCAGCTCCAAGATACAATTAAAACAGTGTACGGAAGCCTGGTAAGGGCAAACAAGATAGCGACTCAAGGCCTCGTTAGAACAGAACAGCCTGAGGTCTGGAGATGAAGACCAGGTGCACCGTACAGCTGACTCCTTTAGATAGATGGCAGAGAACCGGCCCCCTGACCCCTGGCCCACTTGCTGCGCTTGCAGTCCTCTTCCCTTGCCCTTAAAAAACTGTGCTAACCCTTGTGTGGGGCCCCTCTGAGCTGCTCAGTTCTGAGAGTGCCGTCTGGCCAGACTAATAAAGGTCTATTTACCAGCGAGCCTGGTGTGTTCCTTCCTGGGCGACTCTCGTTCCTCTGTCGAGCTCCCGGGGCCTCGCTGAGCTATAGGTCCCAGCATCTTGGAGGCCCTCTGGGCTGTTCAAGGCTCCCGGAAGTAAGGCCCTGGGTCTTGCATCTGGAGCCATCGTTGGGCTATAGGACGCAGCATCGTGAAGGCCCTTTTGGCTGTCCACGCTCTGTGGAGTGGAAGTGAGACTTTAGGTCTTACATTAGGGTCAAGCATTCATGGCAGACTTCATTCCAGAGATCCCACGGCGTTTAGAAGCTCTCAGGGCAGAAGTGACGAATCCCATTCCATACTGTATCATCCATTTGTGCCTGTGTCCTTTGGAGCCGGTCGTCCAGATTTGGTGACTGACAGGGAAGCGGGGTCTCCGTCCCGCCGGGTCCCTCGGCCCGTTCACATTCGGACCCCTCTGAAATGCCGGTATTCCCTTGACTGGGTTAGGTCTGAGTCCTGGAGGAAGCCTGGCCTGGAAACAGCCATGGCCAGACGGTCATTTCGTTTCTCCTCAGGCAGTTTTGGGGAGCGCCCGCTCCTTCCCTCAGCCCTCAGGAGGCGGGGTTTATAGCCACGACTTCCGGGGAGCAGGGCGGGACTGTGAGAACTCCCCTATCAGGAGCGGCGGTGACGGCAGGAGGGGGGTCCACTTCCGGCACCCGCCCCTTGGGGGTCGTCCTTGCTTCTAGGAGAGTCCTGGGTGGGCTAAGCCTCGCGGCTTTGTGGCTGCTACTGACCTCAGGAGCTGCGGCGAGGACGCCGGGAGCCCGAGAGCCTGAAATGGTGACTGCGCAG